ATAGTGATGAGAAGAGATTCCTGTCGAACCATGAGATTTTTGACTTTGCTCCTTATATAGTTACTGATTTTGTGCTTCCAGTTGGCGATGTCTCCTTGGTTACTGTCTTTTTAGTGTAAATTAGACCTTCTCCACAATTATCAATTTGAGATCTTGTTTTCTTGGAATCAATTACTAAGGTATCCGCTTTAGAACAATAGTGAGCAGGGTTATCTGACTCGTGTAGATTATTCGTTCCTGTGCCGTATCTCGTGACGATCAATAATAGTTCAGGACAAATAATATTGTTGATTGTTCTTTGACTTTTATCAAGGATCTCTAGATACATAGTAAGAGCAACGGGCAATATGTGGCAGCAATATTTTGTCACATTCTTCCACTAATTTGTTTGAAATATTTCTCAAACAATTCAAAGAATCCGAGCATATCCCTTTTTTATGACACAATAGAGCATTTTACAGAAAGTTTGCTTATTCGCTCGTGCCTAAATATCAGATTCGATCTTTTCACCAATTATATTCACTTATTAAAACACATTCAATTTAATTTTTTCTACTACATGCTGACCCCCTTGCTTATGTATTAAAAACGAAGGCGCTCGTTATACCAACTTATTTTACCCCCCATGTAAAAATTCGAAAGAAATTTCCATTCCACCCTCATTATTAGATAACCTCCCACCGATTTCTTATGCAAGAGCGAATAAGTTTGTAGAAAACCATAGAAAATATAATGAAGCTATTTTATCAAGAAAATGCTTTTTGAGAAAATGTCTGACACAAGGCAGGGAACCAACTTTTTAGATGTATTACTTTATTTTTAATGGATATCCGTGTTTAAATAGATGCCTCGTTTTTCTGTACACTCGAGTAAACTTAATAAAGAATATTTTTCTCGAGTAAACTTAATAAAGAATATTTTTCTCGAGTAAACCTAATAAAGAATATTTTTATCGAGTGTGCTGTTCGATAGAAGTAATGCACTGTTTAAAAAAAGGGGGCATCTATTCAAACACGGGTATCCACTAAAAAATAACATTTGAAGTAATAAAAATGTTGAATTAAAAATAAATCCATTCTTTAGAAATATATAAACTTGGAGTACGGATTTAAATAAATGAACTATTTTATTATTAACGATTATTATTAAAGTCGTAACGCAAAATTTTGGTGGACTTGAACAAATTAAATAGTCAATTTACCCAAGGCTTTCTTGTGTTTCACTCTAAATATATCACACACATTTCGAGAATGAAATCGTTACACAAGAAAAATAAGAACTTCATTTTCTGTCTATTCTTTCTTTGAAAAAAAGTCATTCTAGACTAAATTCCAATGACTTTTGAGTTGCACCTACGGCGCGTGTTTGTGTGTGTGTGGAAAAAAATGTAACTTTCCATGGCTCTCTATAGTTGCCTTTTTCTTTTTATTATTCATGATTTGCCATAATTGTTCTGAAGAAAGATCGTATAATTGCTTCTAATTACTTTCTACACGGTCTTTTAATTTGGAAATGCCCTATTAAGTTTAGAAATTTGATTTGATTTTCTTTGTTTTTTACGGTTTATCAACACTTTATGGATTATTTAAAGTCGTAGTATATTTTGGATTATAAGAATTATTTATTGCTAGTGAATATTGCATTAACAATTCTTTTGAAAATAAGTAATTTTTCTTGATACAGGTCTTATTTAACCTATAGGTGGCGGGGAGAAGATGTATTCATTCTTTTCCCAAGGGCGTTAGTACGAAAGGAACGGGTAGGATTTGAACTTTGTCTGCCGAATCAATTTTCAGTATAACTATAATGATTGCCAAAGCAGAAAACAAAATCTGTTAACTTTTTATTTATTATTTTATTTGTTTTGTTTTTTTGTTTGTTTTATTTATTTTTTTTATTTTTTTGTCTGGGTCTTCAGATGCTGTCCGCGTTCTTTCTCGTCGCCATATATCTTGATGAAATGTTTCCTTATGTTATGACAATGGTTGATAGTTTGTTCTTTTGAACAAAGCACTCTCTCATAAGTATAAAATATTTTATTCCAAATGATATATATGTGTGCATAGATTTGGGCACCTCGAGGCGGCGTAATGGTTAGCAAGCTTGTCTCGCTAGAACAATTACGACTGAGTAGTGAGTTCGATCCTCACTGAGTTTGGCGTTCTGCCACATCTAAGCTACGCTTGGCAAATCACTCTGTGGGCATAGATTATGCATACATACGTATAGAGTTCTGTAAATGGCTGCGTCGCTCTAGCATGAAGAGTGTTATAGAGGTAGACGTGTGTCACACGATTAAACCAACATGACAGTAACGTCAAGTCAATTCCGACCCTATTGTCCCCAAATTCAGCTCCAGTGTCTTTATATCACCTTTTTTTTTTCATTTACCAATTATGATTCCTTGGTCGGAATCCATGTTTTCTATCGAATATGTTCAGAACATTATTCTGATTAAAAGAGCATCACAGTGTTAGTTATCTGTTAACTTCGGTTTGTTTCTGTGATGGGAAAAAAAATCACAGAGCGTAACGAAAAGAACTGACATTTTGGACCTATTTAGATTCAAATAAGAATATAAAAAGAATTAAATCGACAGCTTAAGACGCTTCTGTACCGCATTCCTTTTATAATGCAACTAAAAATCGATAGATTAAGAAAATCACTCCGACTCTTTGTAAATCTAATGTCGATTTCATACAACAATATTTATCGGAGTAACTTCATTCTCTACAAACGCATGCATGCACACGCATATCGAGTTTCATGATAGAATTAACTGTACTTTTCTGCTCCCACCACCAAAAAACTTTTTGAATCTTTTTAAATTACAAAGGAAAAGTATAAATTGATGGCGTTGAACGTAGAATCATATATTTGCTCTACTCTGTATTGAGCACTCTTTTATGAATAGTATTTTTTTTTTTTAATTATTGGAATTTATTCTTAAGAGTGCTCAATACAGAGTAGAGCAAATATCATATAATTCTACATTCAACGCCATCACTTGATAAGACACAGAAGTGTTGAAACAAAATGGCTATTTTTTTTTGTCGTGATTTTATAACATATTTGTTATAATTTTCGAATAAATTATATATATATATATATATATATATATATATATATATATATATATATATATGGTGCGTATTGGTTATCGATGCTGAAAATGTTATCGGCATGCCGAGTTCGAATTCAGATGAGGTCCTTGTGTTCACATTTGCACCAATATCCTAATGTAAGATATAAATCCATATCTTATTCCCAACTTCCAGCTCTAGGTTAACTCGCACGGCAGACTGGGCTCTTTAGTCTGTTTGGCACCCAGTCTAAACGCAGATAACTTTGTGAATGCGAGGGGTCGATTTGATACTGTGTTGATATTATGAACAGGAGACCGGACCCCACTTCTAAATCGATAAAAACACTATTTTTTGATTCTGCCAAATGTCGCGCCTAAGAGAAATTCTAATTTGCAAACATTATTCACCTGAAAACTTTTCCCTATTTTTTCTGTTTTTATTTATTTTTTTCACGATTTTTAATGGACCAGTATATTTAAGTAGTGATATATATATATATATATATATATATATATATATATATATATATATATATATAATCGGCCTTGTGTCAGACTAAGTAAAGTTTAATAAATAACCATAGATCATATTCCTTTGCATTCATGCGAAACTTATTCGAAATGCGTTTAAATCGATAAATTCTATTGTTCATAGAACTATAAAATCCTCGTGTATACATAGAATAAAAATCAGTCTAAAGATATATAACCAGAAAGGAAATACGATAATAATACGTGTAAATTCAATAAACCCACAAAAATAAATATGTAATTGCATGTTTATACTTATGATCATGCATGCACATGAATCTTTTCATTTGAATAACTTTATGTGAGAATATTATTTTCATTATTCATCGTTACATCTATTGCAATTACAATTATTTGTTCACATGTTTTTCTATCCACCTATATATATATATATATATATATATATATATATATATATATAAAATATACGCGAGAGAAAAATGGAACTGGATACATTTTAATATTTCTTACCCCTCACCTGTTTTATTTTTGTCACCATACTTTTTCAAGGAAGGTTCAACGAAACACGTTACAAGATTACACCTAAGCTTAAATTCTGATTCTTTGCTAAAAGGTTTTTAAATTTTGTTATTCTCTTATTTCATTGTGTATTTCGGTTTGTTTTTGTTTTGATTGAGAAAAAGATAATGTTTTCTTGTAATTTTCTCTGCTCCCTTTCTTGAGGTTTTCACTAACCGAATTTGTCAGGAAAAACGAAAGACAATAGTTTAAAGGCTTTTCTCATTCTATTGAGACCAAAAAAATATTCTCTGATGAAAAAAAACCGTGTACAAAATGCAATTATAAGACCAAGTTTCCTTCTTCAGTATTTCTTTGAACGTTAATGTCATTAAATGGCAAAGAGCTTAGTGATATACTAAATATTTACATCGACAAGTATTACGTATTTACAATGCTTAGGCTGGCACAAGATCAGAAGTCTGAGCACCAGATCAGAATCGAACTTTGAACACATTAATGGTTTGTTAAGAAAGTTCATTAACCATCGTCCCCACAGAAAAGTGTCTACATGTGGTGTTGTATATTATAGAATTAATTCGTTCGATTATTTTTTGATCTTTCCAGAAAGCTTCCCACGGCTTCGTTCTGTTTTTCACACTGTTTCGACCAGCTTAGTTTCTGACCTTCTCCGAGTGTTTTTTGCACCCAGTAAATTTCCAAGACTGTCGAATCGAACTTCTTAGAGGATGTTCAGTCAGCTTTTTGTCGGGTTAGTGGGTGGGGTCATTCAGCTTGGTTCACGATTTCTTGCATTCCACGTTGTTGTAATGTATCATCTTTTCATCGTTTGTTAAAATTAGTTTCAACAATGGAACATTTAGGTAACTTCTGTGGAAGCCATACATTAAAGCCAAGTTGAAACCCGATTCCCGTACGATCACCGAAGTTAAGCAACGTCGAGTATGGTCCGTATCAACATGAGTGACCACTTGGGAATACCAGGTGCTGTAAGCTTGGATGTGCGGACAGTGTGATGGATAATGACTCGGAATTGTTAATCGGAGAGTCGAGTTCCAATTCCAGTTGGGTTCGTTATATTCACTTACGCTCAAATACCCTTGGGAAAGGCATGTATCCACGTGTTCCCCCTCCCAGCAATGGGTTAATTAATAAGGAACGTGTCACAAAACCATTATCAAAAAAAAAATTCTTACAGTTTAAAAAGTATTTTTTGGCTTTAAATAACCTGCAAAGGGTTGATAAACCGTAGAAAACCAATCAATCATCAAAGTGATTAACATGAATATGCGGACGTAAAGGAGTTTCAACATTTGATATGGACATTTTTAAGTATTTTGTCTGTCTCCGATGTTGTCTAACGTTGATTATTCTCAAGTATCTTTATTTGATCGCTATCAATTTCAACAAATCAGATTGTAAATCAAGGTTCAGCGAGAAATCTTCACTTTTAATGTTTGATCCTTCACAATGTACTCAATGAACTGCATTTCTTTCTTATTTTCTTATTTTTTTGAAGCTAAGTCATATTTTTACCTGATTTTACCTTTCTTAAAATCTGACGAAAATGTTTTTTTTTTTCCTTCGTCAATAATATCAACAAGTACAAACCTATCCACTTCAATTTTTTTTCTTTAAATGTGGACTGATCCGACAGGTGTCACAATCCAATCAAAAGCGATCTGTTTAACGAAGTTAGTTTAAACTAAATGCTCCTAATGTCATCTCACAACAAGCACCGAACTACATTTTTGGCCAATCAAATATTCAAAAGACACTGATGATGACCGATTTTGCTTCAACATTATTTTTTTACTTTTCTATTCGGTTCAGTATGCTCGTCTTGGCTTTTATACTCAACGTTTCGGCCGTTGTACTCACCACCAGTTTTCTTCAGCTGTCTTCATTCGAATGTAATTTTTAACGTTTTGCTATGGCAGGTAGACTGTTCTTATTTTGTTTTCGATGTTTAGACTATATTTTGTATCAGTACACAGCATCTTTACTCACTTTTATGTGACTTGTTCGTTTCTTCTACGGAACCAGTAACTTCAGTACTACCAAAGCCAGGGATTAAACTAATATAATAAATACGACACAAGGCCGATTATATATATATATATATATATATATATATATATATAACAATAATCCACTAGACCATGAATCTATTGGACAATCTAGTGTCAACCATTCTAGCTGAATTTCATTATGTATTTTTAAATCGCGTTCACTCCAAGCAAGGCAGTAAAACTACTAAAATACAAGGGGGTTACTGGGTGTCGAAGAATTAAAAACCGGAAATATTACTAAGGAACGAGAACAAACGGAGAATAATCAGGAAAGCAGTAGATAGCAATTTTTGAAGATTAAAGTTGACTGGAAAGCATGGAATCAGAAGAGTTCCACAAGCGAGAAGTGAGAGAAAAGAAACTATTAGCATAGAACTTAGAGTTACATCTAGTAACTAATTAATGAGACCTTGTTGCCAGTCTCTTACTGCGCTTAAATTCATAAAGTCTCGGTACCATATTGAAGAATCCGAATGGTTGCCATGAAAGTATTTATAGAAAAGGCACAGGAAGGTAATTTTATGGTGGTGGGAAAAAGACTGAAGCCAAGATGCCAGATCAGGACCAATAATATTGCAAATTCTTCTTTGGGTTTTATCTAGGACTTGTAAAATAAACAGGAAGCGCAAAATAAAATTTAGTCGGTGAATCCGATGTCGATGATCGCAGCAAAATTTAGAATTAAAAATCGAACTGACAAGCTCCAGTTATAAAAAAAAATCTGTTATAACATTTTATCTACACCCCTCATCTGTGTAAACATTATTCTGATTAGTCAAATATTATTAAATTTAGAAGTAATTGGATGTCAGAGATAAATAGTGTGTGTATATATATATATATATATATATATATATATATATATATATATATATATATATATATATATATACACAGGTAGAGAGTACAGAAAAGTTCTCAGCCCAATGCATTTCCTGACCAAATGACGAAACCTGATAATTTATTTTTGAATCCTGTTTTGGTCGGGTCTAAAATGATGCGTTTAAATGAGCAGTACTCTAAAAATTCTAGGAAAAGACAAGCGGTTACACCACTAATAGGTGATCCGATAGATAAGCCTAATTTTTGCTCATAGAAATTTTTGTTGAAAGACAAACAGTGGCTAGTGATTAGTTTACACAGGTGTATAATTTTATGGACAGATAGAGGAAGTAATTCTTTGGATTTTTTTTTTTTTTTGTATATGGTTTCTTAATATGTTGAGGCATTTTGTAACGGGTATATTTGTGTATAATGATTTGAAAACATGGTTAGATATGAAATCATTATACACCAATATGCCAAAGTTTTTATAAGCAAAAATTTCGCTTACCTATGGGATAACCTATTAGTGGTGTCCTTACTTGTCGTTTTCTAGAATTTTTAGAGTCCTTTAAATAGATCATACCTAAAAGCTGCACTTACCTAAGATACACAGATGACGTTCTTCTATTATATACTCATAATAAAACCTCTATTTGAACACCTCTTAAAGTATCTAACATTTATTTATCTACCACAATCGGTGTTTGCGTAAAAACGTCCTAAAATCAACACGCGGACAGCCACCAAATATAAACAGTTCTAACTAGACATATACACACGCGCATTTACATATATACGTTATAATCCGAATTCCACATAGACAAACTAGAATTATGATACACTTACCTACATAAAGCAACATTTGTTTATTTTTTTCAGTTAGGCTTGCAATCCGATTTTTTTTCTTTTTCTTTTTCTTTTTTTGAGCTTTGAAAGGACACGTCAACTTCCTTTGAATTCAGAACACCATAAATTATACTAAAGCTGCTTAAAAAGTCAAATGCACGTAAAGCCTGCTTAACCAATGAAAATCAAACAACATAAAAATAAAAATACCAGAATTTTTCTTTTTTTTTCACTCCATATCTTATTCTTTCATGAATGTTTAATAAAAGTGAAACATGTTAGATTGATGACTATTTCTTATTTGTCCTTATTCCCATCATATCATATATATACACTACAGTTCAAAATTACTCCCAGAATTAGTATGGGATGAACTTAACAGAAGAGTGAAACCTTTCCATCCCCAAAAATGTGAAAGAGCTCGTAGAGTCAGTGAAAAAAAAAATGGAATCAATTATCAAATTTATACTTTGAGAAACTTTTACAACGAATGCGAACAATTTGTGCTGCATTAATCAAGCCTAAAGGAGGATATTTTGAGAGCAAAATTTAATCATAAAATGTCTTCTTTTTTTCTTTTTTTTTTTTCCATTATAAATTTTCTAATAACAATCATGTCTCACTTTTTTTTAACCTTGTATATAAATTTTCTCTTATTTAAAGTACAAAACAACTACTTTTGGGCCAATTTAAAATTTACCAGGAGCTTGCCTCAAACTTTTGAACTGTAATGTGTGTATGTACACACACACACACACACACACACACACACACACACACATATATATATATATATATAGTGGGGGGGGGGTAAATGAATGATGCAGTCTAAAACTATTTTAAGTTTACAGAAATATTTAAGGAACCGGATGCCGAACCAATATTAGTCTTTTTTCTTTTTTTCTCTGCAATTTTTCTCAGTTCTGTTACATTGAGCTTGGAATATTTGTTAACCAAATTTTCTGTCATTCCCAAAAGGATGCAAATAATTATAAAAATTCCCAAATTTGACTTGCACTGATTTCCTTTTTCTTAAAAATAATTTTTAAAATAACCTTATTTTTCTTTTTTTTCATTCTTTTTTTTTTCCGTTCTTGTTCGCACGTGACGGCATGTAATAAAATTATGTTACACAGTCGTAGGTAATTTTTCTTTTTACATCTTCCACTTTCTGCCTTAGGCGTCAGTGAGATTTTTAGATTCTCCCCCATCATCATGCGCAAGGTTTTAAACCAAATTTTCTCGGACTCATTTAATATGTTAAGCAATTTAGTGTGGACAATATTTACAAAGTACATGTCATTATTTCTTTTTTGTAATAATTTAACCACATGCAAGGCGATAACGCCACTAAGACGGAAGAGGTTACCAAGAGAAAAAGAAACTTAATATAGAGGACAATATAAGAACAAGATTCAAGAAGACTTATGTGAATTACGTTATGAATTTTTAAACATTGCAGTTGACAAGAAGGAAAGCAACAGGAAGAGTTACACATGCGAGAAAATATTAGCGTCGAACTTACGGTTACATTTAGCTATTTCAACAGTGAAATCATGAGAGATACCTGGCAATCTAGTACTGTGCTTCAATTCGTGAAGTCTAGATACCAAAGGGGGAAGCACATCAGAACAATTACCATGAAAGTATTTCTAGAAAAGCACAAGAAAGCTACATTACAGCGTTGGGAAAGCGACAAGCAGAGATGTCCGGTTATGAATGATGACATTGCAGTTTCTTTGGATTTTGTCAAGAATCTCTAGAACGAGTACAAATTATAAAAATTGAAAAAGAATTCCAATTCCGAAACTACCATCTTGTATGTCACCATATTCCTCGATCTAAAAATCGCACAAAAAAATCTCATGTCACATCCTGCCTTAGTTGGAAGCTCAGGTAAAGATCAAAGTGTAGTATATGTTTTCTCCTCTTTTCAAACATAAGAAGGCGCCAGGTTCCGGCAATTTCAATCCTCCAGCAACACCTTCTTCCCGTCCTGGGTAAGACGATAAACTACGTCCAACAGCAAGGAGGTCAGGAGGTTTTGAGGAGCGTGGAACCACCCCTTAATTGCTGGTGTTACCAGGTCCACCCTAACCAGGGATGGTAGCACCTGTTAGGGTCCCAGCTATAGGCAAATAGTTAATCCCCAAACTGGGGTAAAAACACCATGAAAGTGTAAAAATAGGTTTAATACCAGAAATACTTTGTAAAAAGAGTTATTAACATCTATAAGTTTTTGAAGAAAAAA